TGAAAATCAGAGTCAGGAGTTACAACATCTAAAGCAACTAGCATCTCAGTGTCAAGAGCAGTTGAGAACCCTTGAGATTAGCTTCATGAACTCAACTTTTGATCACATGGGAAGTGGGAACACATGGAGATTGTTTATATACCTATATAATCTACATATGTCTACTCTCATCTTAATTTTCAGAATCTGATTAAAATTGTTTGATATGATGCCCCAACAGGTAAACAATTATGCATTGACAATGCACTTGAAGCAAGCTAAGCAAAGCAGCTCCATCCCATGCCGTTTCAACCCTAATGTTTTCTAGTAATTATTGGATATAGATTTTGCGTATGATTTGTGCGCGATTCTGTGCTGGAGTCCTTGGAAAAGGCTTTGCTAACATTATTAGTCCAAAAGTTATACTGTTCTTCAATAGGTATGCTGCCACCAGGTAGGTTTATTTTCTTCTTCTCAATTTACAGACAAATAGGTTGCAGTGAAAATAGATAAGCCTCGATTATTTTTACGAGAGATATGCATGGTAGTTTGTATTCCTGATTATTTACTTGAACTGAAAATTTTGACAGTAGAAAAATGTTGGTCGGCTTCTTGTCAATTATCGAGCAACTTGCCATGCTAACATATTTGGAAGTCTGCATATTTTATATGTTTTATCCCTGATGACCATGCTATTGAGCAACAAAAATGGTGCCTTTATCCAATTGTTTGCGGAGTTAGTTATCCCATCTCCTTGTCATGTCTAATTCGAAGTTTTGAATTTTTGACATAAACTTTATTACAAATAAGTTGAGAATGAAAATAGTGTTCACTTTTGTTGATAAAAGATAGTTTGATTTTTATTTTGAATTAATTTCAAACTTTATTTGTTGTTCAATCTCCATCTATACAGTCTTCTATCTTGTTCCCTCCAACCCAAGAAACACAGATAGGAACCAAACTGTTTCTTGCCTGAAATCAATACATCTTTTATCTTCGTTAAAAACCCAAATCAAACAAATATTCATTGAAGCACTCTTATTTCGTTTTCTGACATCTTTGAATGCATATATATTTAAGTCCTTCGAATGCACCCTTCTTAAGTAAAGTTGTTCAAAAATAATTTTTGTATTTATTCTATAAGTTTCTTTTATACCTTTATTTTTAATTAAATCTTTGGTTAAGCTACATGATTGATCACATTTAAGTTTTGAATACTTTTTCTCATTAAATTCAAAAAAAATATTTGATTACTTTCATTTTTATTTAATTAAGATATGATTATTGAGGATTAATTGTTGTTACACTTCCAACGGATTGTTACTATGACATAATGAATTTTTCCTCATTAAAATTTCAATAATAGCAAATTGGTCATTAAAACATAAAATATGTTTTTGACTAATGATTTGATATCTAATTTACCCCAAAAGCTTTCTAAGTTTATTATTAGAAATATTCGATTGTCTCATCATACTAGACCAACCGATTGTTGGTAATTATAATAGTAATTTCACTCTATTTTATTTTAACTTCGATTGAGATTAATATAAAATTGTGATAAATACTTTATAGTAATTAATTTAAAAACTGAGACAGAAAAAAAAATCTTCTAAACATGTCACCAATTTCATCCCTCGTTAATAGAAATAAAATTCTTTTACTTTATATAAAAATAAACTCCTTGTCATTTTATGTTGATTCTTTTATATGCCGACAAAATTGCCAATCATGATCATTTTATCTTTTGGATTTTGCATAGGCTTCCGAGTGAATGGTGATATGCATAGGGACCATCCTTGTAAACACAAATTAATACACTTGTTAATTAATACTAAAACAAAAAGTTTAATTTAAACTGAGAATTAAACTCAGTATAATTAGATAAGCAAACTAAATTAAATAAGTTTAACTTTGGCAAATTAGAATTAAAGACTTGTGTAGGAGCAAAATGGAAGACGATAGTTTTCGATTTTCATTGTGGACCCACAAAAGAATATTCCCGAGCCTCAACAAAAATAAATAAATTCGATTATTTTGCTGGAGATCTGTTGATAATGGGACCCATTGTTATTTATTTTCATTATTTTGTTTTTGCATGAGTATGTAAAATAGTAAAAAATAAAATAAAACAAAAATGACGAAGGTATTTATAAAAGAGTATAGCAGTGTCCCATCAATAAACTCTATACGATGTAAGCTAAGTAGCGGATCCATTCATGACTCAAGATAGATATTTGTTGATCTTGAAATTTGAATTTTTTTTATTAGTACTTATTTGATTGATAGTGTCCACTTTACAATTTTATTGTGTCTACTTTAAAATTTAAATTTTCTTCGATTACTCACATATTTTATTGATGATGTCCACTATAAAATTTATTTATGCTCAACATTTAAAAATTTTATAGTGTTAACACATATGTCCACCTTCAAAATTATTTCTAAATCCGCCGCTGTGTAAACTTGTAGTGATCATTAAATTTATCGACCTTGTTCATGAATTTCACTCTTGCCTGCTTGCATTTTGTATGTAAATATTTTGTTAGCACATTTTCATTTATCCTCGTGTGAATATTTTGTTTAAAGTATTTGATTCTCATTCTAGTGTTATTTTTTCTATTTGGTAATTAAAAGAAAATTAATTCTTTAACAAAGCTTAAAATTATTAATGGAATGAAGGGTTTTGTATTTTATTTTCAAATGTAGATAATTGATTTGTAGCCAAACTCATACCGTCCATAAGGGGTTAAAAAAGGGGCACTCAATGACCCTTATCACGTTACAAGGCTGGCCATCCCATCAACATCAATGTGTGTCCATAAAAATCACATCGTAGCACCAAATTTTCAAAATTATAGGTCTCCAATTTAATGATACGTACAAAAATATAAAAACAATAACACCTTTTGTTTTCTTGTACTCTCCTTTTACGTATTTCATCCTAAAAAAAGGAAATTTATTGCACGTATTTTAAACTTTCAAGAAATTAATAAATTTATTTATTTTACTTGAGGCAAAAACATTTTGTAACATCAGAGTTAATTATCAACATGTAAAAATTTAGGTTAAAAAGTATATATAGAAAGATTGGGGGACCATAAACAACCCATACGGCTGGTAATATGTACCCCCACACCGCACTCACCAGTAAAGCAGAGCAAAGCGTGAGTATAATAAAAACTGCTGGTTTGTTAGTGAAAATAAACCCTACAGGCTTACCGATACATGATTTTATGTGGATAAATTTGAATTTATAAAATTTTTAATAGAAAATAAATAGATAAAATCTAAAATATAAAATAATTTTAAATTTTTAAGGAAAACGACCGTCCACATCAGCCCCGTCTAGGTTCATCCTTGTTCTCCGGCCTCCGTTTCTCTATAAAGCTGGCCTCACCGATTTTATATCGGTAGAGAGGTTCTTTCAACTTTGGATGGCCTTCTTCTTCATTTTTCATCCTCTACACTGTTTTTGGTCAAGAAAAAAGGCTTAATTTCCAGGATAGTTTGAGAGTTTCTTTTGGGGTTTTGAGATCTGAGATGGATCAATTTTCAGTGTGATGGTCGATGGTAGTTTTTGTATTTTCTTAAAAAAAGTAGTGGTCATGCTTTTCCACAGCTTTCTTGAACTTTCTTTTGTTTTCACATGCTGCCACCATGAAAGCTCAAGAAAGCTGTGGGAGAACATGATGGCAATTCAGGACTTGTGTCTATCCCTTCAGCAAGGCTACATTAATGCCGAACCAAGAGAGAATTGTACCCCATCTCAAGTATGCTAATGCTACGCTTCAAGTTGTCACGCAGTTTTCTTTTTGTTACCCTTCTTTTCCCATGAATTACGATACAAGATTCTTGCAGCATGCGGCTTTGTCTCGGAGAAAATTAAGGTTTCTGATGCTGAATTACCCGTATACACTGCAACAAGTTCTTCACAATGAGAAAATTTATCTGAATTGCAGTATTTTTTTCATCGTTGTTGAATCTAATGTAGGTGAAAAATGAGAGTTGCATTTTCTGCAGAGAAGATTCCCTGGTAGCTTTAATTACATGATATGTGGAGGAGAAGTTCAAGCTTTGTCCCATATCTGTGACGTCACTCTTTAACCACTACACTCCCCCGCTTATCATCATCTCTGACAGGTCACTTTTTCTTTCTATTTACTAATCCAATATTGTATTATCATATATGGATTAACACACGGAATGACATAAGAATTTGTGGCAAAATTGTAAATATAAAAAGTTATATTAAAATTTTAGAAGTTACAATATTATAAAATCTTAAGAGCTGTGAAATTAAATAATTTATATAAATTACATGAAAACAAATCTAAAACCTCATCACTCATCATCGCCCAAAATCTTAAAAATATACTCAAAAGCATCTTAAAAGTAATGATATAAATTATAAAAAAATAAAAAAATTGATATTATTAATTTGTAAAATTATATGAGATTAAATATATTTAAACATTAATATTAAAAATATAAATATTAGAATGAAATAAGAATTATGTTTTAAAGGTTTAAATGTTTATTATATAATGGGTAAATATATAATGGTCCCTATATGACATTGTTTTATTGAGTCCACTGAATATTAAAAAGTTATAAAATTTTCCATCGACTATAGGACATTATTTTGTTGAGTCCATAGACTATTATCGACTATAAGATGTTTTGTTGAATCAACAGGTTAACATCCATCTCCGAAGGTCGTCAAATTTTTTAACAAAAAATAACGAGTTTGGAAGTGTGAATAGTCGAGTGACCATTTTGTAACTTTTAATAGTTGGGGATTTAACAAAATAATTTTCTATATTATAGGGATCATTTTGTAACTTTTAATAATTTAGGGACTCAACAAAATAAAATCCTATAGACAAGTGACTATTTGTATATTTTACCCTTATTTTCAAAATCATTGGGTTTGGGTAGAGAATAGATGGGTTAGCATCCGTACAAGGATGAACCCAAATATATTGTATACGTTAGACCCAAAGCCCGACCTCCATTCGTTACGTGGCGAATCCGACTTCCAAGCCTCTCCCTCTCTCTCAATAGTAAACCACAACACCTGCCTCTCCCGCCTTCGCCGAGCTAACCGCCGCCCTTATTTCACACTCCACCTATAATAAATATTTCTTTTTCTCCTCGTCCCTCTCTTTGGGTTTTGTCTCTCTGCTACTAAAATTCTGTTCTTTCTTTCTTTATCCGTCACAATTGGTGGGATGATTAGGTATGGGGATTAGCTCAGGATAAACCCAGGGTATATTCTGAACATGGATTTGTCTCCTTTCAAACAAGACATTGACGAGCTTATTCACGAGTTTGTTCAGGTACTTTCCCCCTCAATTTTATCATAATTTTGGTTCTAGGAATTCGTCTATTTGTATAAAAAAAACTTTTACTAGAGTTTGTGTTGACAGAGTGAATCATCAACTTTGAATGACACGAAGAGAATATGGTTGTCGATGAAATTCTCCTACATTTACGAGGCCAGTCCTACAAACTTAGCTTTCTTTACGCAATCGCTCTATGCGCATATTATTGGTATGGCGAAGTTTCTTTTTCCCTTTTTTTTAACTTTAAGTTCCTTGTGGTTATTAGTTATGGCACTTTTAGGTTCTGAAAATAGGAAAAATTTTGTCCTTTTTTTCTATGCTTGATTTTTTCCATTGCCGACTATCCTAAACTTTTATGCAGGTCACATTATCAATGTTGATTCTTTAACTTGCAGACTTGGAGGGCTTTATTGCCTCTATGAAACTCAACCATTCAAACCGCCTTTCAAGATTTATCTCCCACTTGGTATGTTTGCACAATTACTTTAAGATTAGTTCCCCTGAATGGTATTTTCAACAACTAGTAATAATGAGAACGGCAATGCTAAAATTATTATTGTTAGTTAGGCATCCCCTGGCATTTACAACTACTAGTAATATTGTGTGCTCTATGTTTTGTTTTTCTTCATTTGTTTGTTGCTTTAAATGACAGGAGAAACGAAGAAACTTACAAGCCTAGTTTCTGAGGCAAAAGAAATGGGTATAAGAGTAGTGCCTACCTTGGTAAAAAGGATGCTGGAAAAATATATGTTTCTGTTTGGGCTTGTGGACTTAAATGAAAGCTCGGTTAACGAGACGATTAACAGTCTGACAAAATTACAAGATGCCTGAATGCAAGTTGCATATGAGAAGTAGGTTCAGATATCTATTGTTTACTAATCTGTTTTGTTATGTTTGTTATGACTTTTGTTTTAACATTTCTGTACGTCTTTGATGGCTTCCTTTTTGCTAACAAGTTATTTACCGATACCGACATTGAGCGAAGCATTCACATGGACTTGGTAAGTTATGCAATCCATTATATAAAATAACGAGAGAAAGTCTGAAGGCATATATTATTGTTCCTATACTACTATTAGAAGGGACACAAATGCCTTCTAATTGCAAGTAATACGGAGCATGTTGTTTGAGTTAAAGCAGTCTACCAGTCTTATCTGGTTGCAATCCTTAGTATTGCAGAAGGCATTTGTGCATAAATATTAGATCAGTGTGTTCAATTTCAAATTGTCGAATGGTTGAGATTCACTAGCACTCTTTCGGTCTATAGACAACAATAGCTTTAAAATGCATGCAACTGGTGCCATGAATTTGTTCTTATAATATTTATCAAATTATTTTTGCCTTTGACTATTTCTAATCATGTGATATGTGCTCTTAATGCTAAATGTATTAGGCTATGGAGGTTGACTTCGATAAGATAAAGAAAATGTCCACAGAAAATGCAGTGGCTAAGAGAAAATCCATCAAAGGTACATCCTTTTGCACTATGGCACTATCAACTTTTAAATATGCCTAAACATGACTGCATATATTTGTAAACTGACCACTTTCTTGTCATTTGGAGCCTGAATTTAAGTGCATTTGACCTTGAGCTTGCCATTAGCAAATGATTATGTTTGTGTAGCTAAGATTAAGCAGCGTCATTTGATATATTGGCTTATGTGTTATGTTTCGTGTGTCGGTTACAATTGCCTCACATCTGTATCCGCAATTTTATAATTTCATGTTGTCGCCAAATTATTTCTCCATGAATGTCTTTGAACTCCTTTTGTTGCTGCTTCCTTCTGCGTTGATGTTAAAATTATGTATTACCTATAATGTGGAATTACTTCCTGAAACTGTTCCACTCAACACTCATGGTTCATAATCTAGTTTTGCTGTTTGCCTGGTTTAACCTGTTTATGGTTTCTTTTATTTCCCAAGTATCTCTTAATCGTTTTCTTATTCCATTTTCAATTTTATTTCTTCTTAAAGAGGTTGGAGAGGTGGTAGATGTCCAGAACATAAAGCAGATAACGGAATATGAGAAACCTCTAAGTGAAATAGTTAAGAAGATAGATGAGAGCTGGAACAACCAAAGAGAGGCGTTCCCGGATTGAGTCACCAAAAACCAGCTGAAGAGGAACAACCGTTGCTGCTGCAGTTACAACCAAATGAAAATGAGGCCGACAACGACGGTGATGAATTTTATCGTCTACTATATGAACATGATTGAATCCTTTTCCTGGAGAATTGATTTTTAATGCAGGGCATCTGTATCTGATTTTTGTACAACAAACAGTATCAGTGGTTGTTTTGCGTTTGGTATAATTTGTAATCAAGTACTTGAAGAATGATGCTTATGTGTAATTATTAAGGTAATAATTAGATAAAAAATTATATTTTTGTAATTATAATGAACCGCAATTTAATAGACATGTTTGATTGCTAAAGAGTAACTATACACCATCAACTTAACTACTAGTACTGATAATATTTTAAAGGTGAATGGGTAATTTTTGCCCATGTAGTAGACTCAATTTATTATATTTTTTTATATATTGTATTTTCGTATCAATTTAGATCTCAAAGTTGTTTAATTGCATCATTTTATACCTTAAACTATAACCCTATAATCTTTAAATCCTAAATTTTAACTTAGGATTTATAATTTAAGGTTTTAAGTTAGGGATAGGATCGAAAATACGATAGGGTCGAAAATGATAATTTGAGGGCTAATTTTATGTAAAAATAAGATATGATAAACTATATATATAGTATTAAGACTTATAAATTTTGGTTAAATTTATTAATTTATGTTTATATTAAACTATATATAGTATTTCTAGATTTTAACTATAGTTAAGAAAATAAGATAAAAATTTTGATAAACTTAACAAGCATCGAAGCGAGCAACGAGCAAAGAGTCGTGCAACAAGTTTTTTTAACGAGCACGAGTTGATCAAAATTTTAACGAGTTTAATGAGCAACGAGTCGAGTTGAATCGAACAATAAAAATTTTTAACGAGCACGAGTTAACACTACTCAACTCGCGATCTGCTCAGCTTGAGAAGCAGCCTTAAGTGTTGATGAAGAGAATCAACAGACACCACATGTTAATAAAGGATAGAGACAAAGAAGGTTCATGTGCCATAGCTTCACATTGGTCCCTCTTTCTTTTTAACCTTAGCTCAGCCAGGGGTCCCATTTTCTATCGAAACTGTAGCCTTCAAGTTGCTCCCTTGTGAATTCTGATTGATTCCCCACACTGATCCAATACAACCAAAAACTGAATCATTGAGTTCCACGCTGTCGTTTCCTTATTCTTTCCCATAGTTGTACTTTAAAAAGGACATTATTTTTCAGTACATTTTGTGATGAAATTGAATTGCTTTGTTCTGTACATTTCTGAAACCGAGTTACAAAATGATATTCAATAGACTTAAGTTCAATATCTGCAGAATTACACTTCTCTTATATTTCTTTCCACATGCATTTTACTGTAGGAAGTGATTTTTATAAACATTATATTTATTGGCTGAGAAGAAAGACATAATATGATATATTTTTATAGAAAGCTACAACAAAGAAACAAATTGAGAATCCCTGAAAATCATGAAGAAAGACAAATATCGTCCTTGATTGCATCTTTGTCTAAGATACAGAAACACACTTGCAAGTTGTGACAATCTTTTAAAACGAAAGTGGAAAAACAAATTGGTGTTACAATAAAAACTGCATTAGATTTCCAGTCCAATTGAGAAAGGAAGAAAGAGAAAGCTCGACATCCTCTCATGTCGATTTCATCATAGATTCCATCAACCTACCAACCTGTAAATCCGCATGCAAGGAAATCTAATGAGGAACAAAGCTCATGTAATGTAATAATTGTTAGGTCCAGCAGCAAAAATAATGTCATTTCTAAACATGGGAAGGACTCTGCATGGCTGAATTATTTTATCTGATATATAATTCTTTTATCCGATGTATATGGATGGATCAAGGGAAGCGAGACAGCAGATGGGCTCGGTCGTCCCTGGAAAATTTAAATTTTTATATATTTTTGTACATTTTCTTTATTTCGTCCCCAAATTTTATAATTTTATCTCTTTACAATTTTTATCACTTTACTAACATAAATTTTTGTATACGTTCATGAATAAATACTATAAACTTAAAAAAAATATTATTGGGTACTTAGAAAACCATTGCTATTTTGGAACCCTAAAAGAGCAGTTTAAAACGAGATGCTTATGAAGCAGTTTAAGATGGGTTATATAAGCAGAAGTACTTAACTTGGTTCTAGAGAGAGCAGGTGTAACCGGGAGGGGGTGTTTTCCCACACGTGACAAGGAGCTGAAGAGCCAGCGGGACGTAAATGTTAAGGTTGAGAACCTTGAGCTTGAGAGTGGTGCACAAGCAGACAGCAGCTTCGAGCTCAGCGAGTCCCGTAAGAACCGGACAGCATTCGTTCGCGACCGGGTCACCGAGACCAATGTGCACCAAACCTCCCAGGAGATCCACACATGCACCCAGTTTCAACGTGTCGATGGGGCAAGTGTCCTTGGTCGGTGGTGATGGGCAGGGTTTCCCTTTTCCACTTGGTGGCTTTGTGATAACCGGGGGAACCGTTACCGGGGGAACTGTAACCGGAGGGAGTTTAGGGACAACTGGGGGGAGTTTAGGGACAACCGGAGGGAGTTCAGGGACAAGCGGGGGGAGTTTAGGGACAACCGGAGGCAAATTGATTGGAGGTTTAACGAGGGGGGGCAGAGTGACGGGACCTGTAGGGGACTTTCCCTTGGGCTTTCGATGCTTTGGTGGAGCCTTCCCACATGAACCGCACCCAAGAATTGGAGTCACCAAGGAAATGAAAAGCATGCAAACTAGCAGCAGAGCTGACATTTTGCTGGACTCCATTTTCAAACCCGAAGAGAGAAGAGAGAGAGAGAACAGATTGAGTGCAAAAATGATGGCAGCGAAGATGGAAATATATACAAACGAGGAGGAACACTGGAACAAACAAGCCCTACAAGAAGAACCGGAAAAGAAGCAAATCACGTGAAGCTGGGCTAATAGAGAGGCAGCTGCCAAAATTTGCTAGTTGGCAATGCCTTCACAAATACATGAATCTTCGTATCAACATTTACACCCCGCTGTATTATCAGTATTTCCCCTTGGCTTTTAGCTTTGATATGGAAAGAAACATTAGATTTCTCACTATATTTTTATTTAACAGTAGGATATGGAGGGAGTTAATTCGGACCTTCTAACTCAATTTCTTAACTCATTACGTTTCGTAACATTTTAAAAACATTCCAAGACCAAGTATCAAAATCGTTAACTTAGTTGATTAGGCTAGCAATGATTAATGTAAATAAAAATAGGTATATTAATTTTTCGTCAATGAACTTCCTACTCGTATCTATTTTAGTTACTAAAATTTAAGATTTTTCAGTTTAACCAGTAAAATTTTATGTTGCTTTTGTTTTATTCATTCAACTATTGAACCACAAATGATATGATAATCTGATAAATGATATTAAAATGATGGTTATTTATATTCATATAAAAAACTTAGTTTATTTTTCATTTGTTTAAATAATTTCAATAATTATTTATCCAGATCGACCCTTACGTCCACTACCACAATAAACCCTCATTAATCATTTTCCTTTTGCGACATAGGGGCCACATGAAAGCAGACCGATCGATCAGATTAGACCATCCCCTAGCCTGGATAATCACATGTCCATATGGTGCATTTTATTTTATTTTTATTTAAAGAAGCACTCATTTTGTAAATTTTATTAGTTAAAAATTAATTTATATATTTATGTTTGAAATTTTTTATTCATTTATCCAATAAATTTTTTTTGGCATCCTTCAAATTAAGTAACTCGAGTTTATATTTTATTAACCTTTTCTTTAAGTAACCAAAATTTTAGGTGATGAGAGTAGTAAGAAAATGCACGTATAAATAGAATCAAAGCCAGAGAAACTTCACTGATGGTAATTTGTTGTCCGATCAAATTATATTTATAAAGTGGGAAAAATGATGAGTACAGCAAAGTAAGCATGTGACGGGCAGGGATGGACCTAAACGGAATTGATGAACGTAGTAATTTTATTAATAATTTTAAATTTTTATATATTTTAGATGTTTTGTTTATAATTTTTTTATCAAAAATTAATTTTTATCTCTTAAAATTTTATAATTTTATCTTTTAACATAAAATCTTGATATAGTCCATAATCAGATTACGAGGTATGGTCTGGTCTGTAGCACGTCCTTGAATAAATGGACGGTAATATTATAGATATGTCCGGGGACTTTATTGTAGCTGTACAAACAAATAGCTTAATTGTATGAATTAATTTATCTCAATATTTAAAAAAATTATTATTATTATTAGATATTATAAATTTAAATATCAACAATTATAATAAAATAATTAAATATTCATTTTTAAATAATTAAAAATATTTAAAATATATACTATTTTATAATTACATTAACTTAATTAGAAAGAAAAAACACCTCAATTTTATCCGTGGTTTCTCACTCTGATGTGATAGGTCGATTCTTTCAATCTCCCCATCTCCATGACTCCATGTCAATGTCTGTCTCCCTCTATTATTCATCAACCCCACTCCTTTCTTTCTATCTTCCAACAAATAATTGGGTTACAGTGAAAGCTAAGCTCATGCTTTCTTTATGGTACTATATTTTGTGTTCCTCGGATTCCTACGTACTCACTGTTTATGTAGTAAGTCGATTATGGAAACGCTCACGTTCGACGTCTTAATATATGATTAAAATAAGGTATTATTGATTTTATTATTATTTTAAATAATAAAATTGATAAAAAAATATCAAAAATATTATTATTTTGACTGGTATAATTATCTAATAGGTAAATACGGTCGAAAAAATTCAGTTAAAAATTGATGTTTTAGGTAGCGTTTTACCGAAAATATAATTTTTTTGACTGGATTTTTTTACCGTATTTACCTATATAGGTAATTAGAACCGGTCAAAATAAAAATATTTTCGGTCATTTTTTTACCCATTTTATTATTTAAAATAATAATAAAACCGGTAATACCTTATTTAGCCGTATACTAAGACGCCGCACCGCAGAACTGCCCTGATTATCGATAGAGTAAAAAATAATAGTTGAGATTAATTTTTTAATTAAATATAATATTTAAATATTCAATACCAAATCCTGAAATATGTTAATATTTTTATATTAATTTTCTAATTAATATAGTTGGACTTAAGAACCCAAAATTTAATGAAAAGGTGATAATAACTTAACATATGTTCTTTTAGGTGGTTAGAAATAATAATAATCAATGTATTTGATATAATCGATGATAATAGATCAATATATAATTCGAAGTAAGAATTATAATATAAATTATAATCAAATTGGAGTTCATTCTTGAATTACAATGTCATTTTAGTTTAAACTATTTAAATACAGTACATATTAAATTACACTTATTATCAATTTAAATTATAATTTTTTATGCATGAATTAAATTATCTTAGTGGTTAAAAGAGCGGTTGTTATTCAATTTCAGGCTCGAGCACCAACAACTACAACATGGGTGATTGAACGTTCATTATCAAATAATTGATTATATTTAGAACAAATTCAACTTTGTAATTACCTCAGCTTAATAAAAAAATTATAATTTTTTTATAATTCAAACTTTCAAATCATATCGAAAAATTATTTTTATTAAAACTAAAAACATCTTTTATTATACCAAAACTAGAAATTTTAACAGACGAAGTGTGATAAATATTGAACTAGATTTTATATTAATTTTAAGTTTCACTCCTATTGTAAGTTAAATGATTAAAATTTAAAATCCATCTATAAAAATATTTCAATTACGTTTATAACATAAATAAACGTGGAAAGGGTGAAAGAATCATTGATCCACGTTTCACTAAAATCATCAAACTCGGAAGTTCATTAAAAATCCGAAGTCGTCCTTTTGACAAACCACCTCGATTCTTTTTATATTCCTTGTTTCCGATTCTTCTCTTGTACATATATTTTTGCCCTTAAATCTAGCCACAGCCCTCCACGCCTCCGGCCTTGGATCTTCAATGGGGATATTATATGGAATGGTGGCGAGGGGGCAGGTGGTTTTGGCGGAGTTTAGCGCATCCCAGACAAATGCGAGGACCGTAGCTAGACAGATTTTAGAAACTATGAGCCAAGGAATTAATGATACCAATTCTTCGTTTTCGCACGATCGTTATTTTCCATGTCAACAGAACCGATGGTCTCACCGTTGTTTGCATGGCCGATGATGCCTCCGGAAGTAAGCTATTTCTCATAGGCGTTTTGAATTGCGCTTTGTATACCATACGTGATTGATTAATGTTGTTGATACACAGGGAGAATTCCGTTTGCTTTCCTTGAAGATATCCATCGGAGATTTGTGAAGACATATGGCAGTGCCATTCGGTCAGCTTTGCCTTACGCCATGAATGAGGAATTCTCCAGGGTCATGTGTCAACAAATGGATCGTTTCTCATCCGATCCCAATGCGGACAGATTAAATCGTTTGAAAGGGGAGATAAGCCAGGTAGGTAAGTTTTGCAGATATCATTGTCGTCTCTTAATATGATTTATGAAAATTTGTATGCATAGGTACGGAGTGCGATGATTGAAAACATCGAGAAAATATTGGAGAGAGGCAATCGATTGGAGTTGCTGGTGGAGAAGACGACCTCAATGCAGGGGAACTCAATTCGGTTCAAAAGTCAATCTCGTCGTTACAAGAAATACTATGTGGTGGAACAATTGCAAGATCACGTAAGTATATACGCTAATCAGAATCATGCACTGAGATTGATATACCATTTGAGTTTTCAGTAACTTCAAGTACGAATTGTTGTGTTGTGTTGCAGGGCGACATTGATACTACTGCTTTCGTTGATCATCGCTTATGTTCTGTTCGAATTTTTCTGTTAACAGACTCTTTTTTCTGTCGTCCTCGTTGATGTAACATCATGGTTTTGCCACAATTTTCTTCACATATCATAAATAAATATATATATATATATTATTTGATTCTGCAAATGCCTGAAATGATAACAAATTTCACATGAACGTCTTCGTAAAATTAAAATTTGATGATAGAATTTTAATTAAGCTAAACATATCTGGCATTTTCCGTGGATCAAATTTCAAACCCTTCTTTTTTGTTTGCTTTGAGATACGAATCAAGTTCTAAAGGCCAACTAGTCTATATAAGGCCTGTATATGGTTGAAAAGGCATATTGGAGTTGTAATGGCGGACGCGGGTACCATAAGGATATCCAAAAGCATTAGGTGGTGGCTGTTGTGGACCCATCATCATCATCATCTGCTGTTGCAACATAAAAGCCTGATGCTGATTGGCCACTGCAGACATCTGGACCGAAGGTGAAGCAACGAACTTGTTGGAGGCGTAAAAGGGGTCATGCACCGGTTGTTGCATCATAGCACCCGACGTTGGAGGAGGTTCCCATGTATTATAGCTGACGTTCTTGTAGCTACTTTGGATTGCATCCTCGTACAGACTGTCCAACATAAACTTGTCGAATCCTCCGCCCTATCGATTGATACCAAATTAAAACAGTATCAGTAAGACATACATGAACATGTCATGCTACCTGTGGATGTCTGAACGGATCACAAAGCCATTACAATCTAATATGACGACAGCCTTGTTATATGTACCATTTTGTAAGAGGCAGCGGCACTATCGTTTGAGCTTGGAGCAGTGACAAGTGCCAATTCCCAGCCAGTAGTACCAGTTGCTTGAACAGAAACAGCGGCAGGAGTTGTTTGCTCAGCTGGAACATCACAATGGAAACATTAACACAAATTGACAACAAGAAATAAACCATTGAAACAAAGTCGATCTTACATAGAACAATACAAGGAGAGTTGTTTAGGAGC